TGGTTTTTCTTTAATTTTCTAGACTGATGTTTGTGGTTATGATCCAGATTGTTGGTTGTTTTAATTTGTCCACAGGAATGCAAAACATGGATTCGAGTTCTGTTAGGTGTTATGGTTTCCATAGGGTTTGATTGCTGTATTTGTAGGCCATCCATTGGCCTTGAAACACCTAACAAAATGCTCATCGAACAAGCAAAAAGCAATTGGGAAGCCACTGTCACCAAGAAAAATTAAGAATGATTCTGGTATGTTCCCTGAATCTCAGGCATTTGAGCGTGGTCTTTTTCAATTTTTATTCTTTTGTTAATTAGTACAATAAGCATGGTCTTATGGTAAAACTAACTAAGATTCTTCCTTTAAATATTATTGGACCATAAGGTTCTAATCTCTTGGAGGTGCTCAATTTCAGTCAACTGTGAGAATGATAGGATGTTGATCAGTCTATAATACCTTGAGTAGGTAAATTGCTTCTAAGTTCAATTTGTTTCAAAGAATGGCAACTGATGCAAAGTTGCTCATGGACTTCCAATTTGTAGGTCACTTTCTGTTGAGTTGTCATCGACTAAGCTGTACCACAGACTCTAAGGACATCTCAACTCATAGTGACTCTAACTCCTTGAAGGTCTGTTTTGAGTAGAATTATGATTAAGCTTGAAATTCATTTAAAATAGACATGCTTTTCTATAATTCTTCTTATTTCTCATTTCCATTATCAATGCTACTTGGTGATGCTCTTGTAATTGACATCAAAGTTCTCATGTTTTAACAAATGAATACAGGGAAATCAAGATGAAAACAGAAAGTGTCAACCATGACAACCAGTAGCTAACCATGGAGATCAATGGTATGGTATTGTAGACCCAGTGGTGGCGAACGTGATTTGCTCGATATGTTTTTTGTCTTGAAATGGTGATGAAGAGATTTGAACCCACTTTCCAACATAGGTCACATCTCTCCTGACAATTCAGCCAACACCAGCAGTGTCATTTGCGCTGGCAACCCAGTGATGATATGGCAAGTCTCCGAAGTGAAGAAATTTCATCCAGATCAATCAATGCAAAGTGGAAGATGCATAAATATTTAAGGCGATCAAGTGCGATATTCTGTCAAATTAGTTGCTAACTAACAGACATGAAATGTGTGGAAGGGCAAGTTACACTTGCTAATGTTGTCTCGAATTTTGATTGCAACAACGGATGCATTTGCTATTGAGTACAAAAGAGCGATGTGAGATTGGGTGTATTGGGAAGCTTCTATCGAAGCTAGGGTCGAGATTTTAACAGTTGTATCCATTTCTTTACATTGTAAAGTTTCTATTCGGCTCTTCCGGTGAAATTTTGTAATTGTTCTTTTATCGTTCTTTCATCATCTTTTTTTGTATCAAAATAGTTGAGAACGTGAAAATTGCACCAAATTGGAACTAATGTATGTACTTCACCCCAAAAAGTTATCTTCAATGAATAAAGATTGTGATGTTCCCCGAGCAAGTACAAAATACCTGGTTATTTTTCGTAAGTATATGTAGGAGCTGAAAACAAGAGGTGCAAATTCAGTACTCTGGTTGCAGGGGCAAGAATCACAAGAATTGAAATTACTCATAATCTCGGTATATTCAGGCAGGCACCAGCTTTACTGCATGCCAGAAATGCTTAAAGAGTACAAAGTGTCATAAATGAACAAAAGATAACAGGACCCAAAATTAGATAAGGTTAGTAACTAAAATTAAGTTTTTTTCTGCCTCTTTATTCTCTCAAGGGCTCCTAGACGGCTCTCACTTTCCCTATCTTTGGCTGGTGCAGTATCATCATCCCATCTCTATCACTTCCACGTTTCAGAGAAAAAAAACAAAACAAAACAAAACAACAACAACAACAACAATGATGGGGAAAGTCACTTGGGCCTAGAAACCTTGGTCAGAACAGCTACTTATCCATTTTGAGAGGTCCAATTTCGGAAGCCAATTCCGGCCCAAATTAATTTAATGCAAAAGAAAAGAAGAAAAAAATGGTTAATGGTGTAAATGAATTCGTGGGGAAGTTTTCCATATGGATTTGCAAAATCAGGAATCGGAAAAGAAAAGAACAGACACAAATCCAAGCAGAAGGGGAAAACAAAAA